ACCTCCCCGGCTCCACGAGGCTGAGCTGCCCCATAGCCTGACTGCCCCCCAACCCAGCCTGGGTCCCCTGGGACCTCCTGGCCTTCCAGGACAGCCCTTGAAGGGATTCTGGCTGAAAGGAAGACCTGGACCACCGGCTTTAGCAAACATGAGATGCTTGTGTTAACATTTAAAAAGAAAAAAACCAAACCAACAAGATTTGAATACGTGGCACTATCCACAGCCATGCAGAAGGCACAACGCACGGCTCAGCCCTGCTGCTGTTCAGAGAAGCAATCCTCCGTGGGGCTGTGCCCACCAAGAAAAGCTGAAAAGGGAAAGAAAAAAGCACCACCCTTTCCCCACTCCCTTTTTTTTTTTTTAAAGACAACTTATCTTTCAGTCAGAATGCCTTGTTAATTGGGCATAACGAAGACAACTGTCATGGCCTGGAAGCAAAAAGCCACTGTGCCAGAGAAGGATGTCTGGTGTTCCTGTAGCCCCCCCTTGCCTGTCCCTGCACGAGGGCTGTGCCGGCTCCATTTATCTGTAAATTTTTCCGGGAAATGGCTGCTGCACAGAAAACGAGGGGGGAATACTGCTGCAACATTCGTGGTCTGCAGCTACCTCTGATGCTGAAACTCTCTAGAGCTATGGGTGAAGGCAAACTTCGTTTTGCCCAGCCCTGCTGCTGCACAGGGCAGGACGGCTCAGGAAGAGCTCGGCTGGTGTAGCTGTGGCTCCCGGACAGGGTTTTTTGGGACGACGGCAGCTCTGCCCGGTGTGGTCCCTTCTGGGGCACTGCTGCCTTTCACCAGCGCTCCTCCCAGGCTCCAGCCTAGGCTCACAAAACACACTTCCTGCCCTAAAAAAAAAAATCAATGTATGATATTCCAATACCTGAAGGGAACCTACAGGAAGGCTGGGGAGGAACTTTTTACAAAAGCGTCCACCGATAGGACAAGGGGAAATGGGTTTAAGTTAAAGGTTTTCCTTTAGACTGGATCCTAGGAAAAAAAAAATCTTCAGTGTGAGGGCGGCAAGACTCTGGAATAAATTGTTCAGAGAAGCTGTGGCTGCCCCTCCCTGGAGGTGTTCAAGGCCAGGTTGGATGAGGCGCACGGTAGCGGAGAGGCGTCCCTGCCCATGGCAGGGGATTGGATTAGATGATCTCTAAGGTCCCTTCCAGCCCAGGCCGTTCTATGACTCTCCCTGCTTCACCCCGATTCACCGTGGTGGTTCTGGTTTTGAAAAAAACTGCTTGGTGTAGGTCCTTGCCAGGGCAGCGAAGCAGCTGAGCTCTTTGCCTACGTACCAAAGCCGATGAGGCCGAGCGTCTCCCCCCTGATGCGGGCGGCGCCGGAGGCCATCTCCCGGATCTGCTCCTATCTGCTCCACGCTCTGCACCCGCGTGCCTTCCCGCAGCGCCTGGTAGAGCCACGTGTTTCGCCGGTAGAGGTTGAGGACGTGGCAGACGGTGGAGTCGGCCGTCTCCTCCACGGCGGCCGAAGGGATGTTGCAGACGGCGATCCCTGCAGAGGCAAGGCCACAAAGCACAACCATGGCTCAGGCCGGGGAGAGGCAGCCCCGGCTCTTCACCATTTCTTCCTTTTTAAAGCATTTGGAGTAACATTTCCCAAGGATTTGCACAGTTCAGATAAAGCAGCCTGAAATCTCTGCAAAAACCACTATGACCAGTAACGCTCAGGGGTCCCTGATGCCCTGGCCTCCTCCTGGAGCAAGAAGTGCAGATTTCAAGCGCAACAGCTACGCAGGAGGAACTCCAGCAGCAAAGGATTGTTTTGCAGTCACAGAATCATACAATGGCCTAGGCTAGAAGGGATCTTAGAAAGTCTCGTTCTTGCTTAATCTACCTTCAAAGCGCTGGCAGAATCCACTCCTTTGCCACAGTAAGACTGTTCGACCATTAAATGACTTCGAGACCAAGAATTGGGTGCAGTCGAGCAGGACGGGGCACCAGGTCGCTGCGGCGGGGGGGGGTGGCCCCTTCACTCCTGCCACAACATCTGGGATGTTTTCCCCACCTTTCGGGAAGAAGTGCAGCTCTCCCACCTGCCTGCCCCAGCACTGGGCTTATTTTAAACATCCCTGTCGCTGCTGGGAGCAGCAAGTATTGAGTTCAGGGAAAGTGCCTCCCTGCCCTGTCCAGGCTCTGGCTCAGTAACACGCGTAAGGGTGCGCTTAATTTCGTGTTTATTCAGCAGAGCAGTTAAGCACATACTTACATCCCACCGGATTCAACGTGATTGAACCACGCATTTAAAGATGGATATGTATTTAAGTGCTTTACTGGACCTTTGAGTAGAAACCATGAAAAAGGAAGAGATAAAGACGGAATAAGATATTCAGAAAATCCCCTTCTGCTGTGAGGAGCACTGATTCAAGGTCAAAAATTGCTTTCCCATCCCCCTGCTATTATTCCTGCTCCCAGGAGCTGCTTGTCTGTTTGTAAAACTGTCTTCTAGAAGGTCAAAATCCTTCTCCCCCAGCCCAGCCAGCAAGGTGCAGGAGGCTCGTGCTGCCCAGCCAAGCACCGTGTTAAGACACTGCTCATTTATGGACTGCACAGTTTAAAAACTACCTTACGGAAAGCAACAGCATTTAAGCTTTACGCTACATTTGTGAGTAGTCATTACATTTTCTACTCAAAACCACATCATTTGGCCACCCAATTTGCCAAGTATAAAGAGGTAGCTTATGCCGCGGTATCCCATTTCTTTATTCGTTGTGTTTTTTTTTCTTTCTTGATGCTCGAAGCCTCAGAACGTTGTCATAATGGATAATAACAATAAGAGTTAAAAACATGAAGAAACCATTATGTCAAGAAGACACTTCTCCTCTCAGAAGAAAAAAAATTTAAAAAAATTCACTATATTGAGAATTGCTTTTTTAGGAGCGACTATTTGAAACTCTCTTATCGCAATTATCTTTGTAAAATGGCTCACGTGAAACAACTGTTATTCTGCACTTCCCCAGAGATAACTTTTAATATAAGATACCCTAAACACTGTTGTAGGACTACTTGGCAGACTGAATCTCGGGATCAGATGATCAGAAACGGTTGTAACTCTGCTGCTAAAATCACGGATGCAATTAAGCTCCTGCAGCCGGGGGGGTGGTGCAGCCAAAGGGCTCTGCAACCACTCGGACAAGTAAGGGAAAGGTGGTGGCCCCAGTACCCACTGGCAGCCGCGCAACGCAGCCTGCACGCGGGCAGAGAAACCCCAGAGATGGACATGGGGGCTCCTTCCTGACAACACGACCATTTTTGCCACATGCCCCCGGAAATCTCTGTTTCACGTTCCCGAGGGACCTTTGATGAGAGGGCAAAGGAGGCAGCAACAGCCCAGTGCATGTTTCCTGCTTCACCATCCAAGAAGGAACAGATCAAAACACTAATCTTGTTTAACATAACATAATGAAACACCCTTCCTCCAATTTTTCTCAAGCTAGATTGACTCTCCTGTGCCAGAAATAGAAAAGCCATACAACTATCTGTCAGCACGAGGGGCACCTGGAACTAGGGACAGTGTGTGAACCAGGGACTCGGGGCAGTGTAACAGCAAGTGATCTTAAAAGCTGCCTTCTTAAAACTGCACCAGCTTGTTTACTTCAAGGTCAAGTTTTCTCATCACAATATTCTCTCCGTGCCAAAAATGTAAACCGCACCTGCTGTTTTAGGGGCTGAATCAACCCCCTTTGGGAGGTCCTGCCCGCAGCTCCCGGTGGGTACTTGTGCTGAGCTAAAAGGCTCCGGAGGACACAGGAGGAAACGAGGGTGCAGAGCTCAGACTTACCAAGCTCCCCTGCAGCTTTGATGTCGATGTTGTCGTAGCCGCTGCCTATTCGAACAATGACCCGTAAGGCCTTGAACTTCTCTAGATCTTCTCGAGTCAGCGTGATGGTGTGGTACATCATCGCCCCAACAGCTTCATTTAATACCTGGAACAGAACGGAGATGTCACTGAATCACAGAACGCTGGGGGATCATCCGAAGGGACCTCGAAAGATCATCTAGTCCAGCCCCCCTGCCACAGCAGGATCACCCAGAGCAGGTCACACAGGAACGTGTCCAGGTGAGTTTTGAATGTCTCCAAGGAAGGAAGACTCCACACCCTCTCTGGGCAGCCTGGGCCAGGGCTCCAGCACCTGCACAGGGAAAAGGTTTTTTTCTAATGGTTTTGTGGAACCTCCTGTGCTCCAGCTTGTACCCATTGCCCCTTGGCCAGTCACTGGATGTCGCTGAGCAGAGCCTGGCTCCATC